AGAGGAGGGAGCAGAGCAGGAAGGGGCCCTGGGACACACAAGTAAATAGACACAAATCACAGGATTCCCCATATTCTCCCATATGTTCTAGGTTTGTGTCGTCGCCCCCACTTCCCATATGTTCCCATCTTTTCTGGGGAATCGACGATTCGTTGTGTCTGTGTGTTTTTCTTCCCTCCTGAGAGCAGGAAGAAGGAAGGGGGGACGAGGAAGGAGGGAGGAACGGGAAGGAGGGAGGAAGGAGGAGTGGACGAACATCTAAGAGCTCGTCTGCATCAAGAGCCACAGAGGCACTCGCTCGCGCCGCAGCTCAGTCAAATGTAGTAGACGTAGAACCTTTTACACAACGAAGACGAACTGGAACCCGACGCTGTCGAGAAAATTGAAGAAGCCCAAGTCGGCGTCTAGATCGCCGAGCTAGCCATATATGAAACACGAGTGCACGTTGATGGGGTTGACACAGCTTGCGGAAATAAAGATCTCATCCTTTGCGATCTCACTGGCCCTCTGAGTCGCAGAGGAGTTTGCCAAAGGAGACGGGGCCAGCAAAATACCGGCTACAGATCCTGGGTGATCTGACGAGGGATACTTACTCGCCAGGGGCTCCTTATCTAAGGTGGCGTCCTGGCATGGCGGGCGTGGGCAGCCGCAGCCACTTCCCTTCCGGCCATCGCCTATACTCTCGAGCTCCACGTGGCGGCACGAAAGGAAGCGGGGTATGGGCAGAAGTGCATCGAGAGCTTCTACGACTGGCTTGGGACGACACAGAACTCCGCTGTCGCCGCTGTCCTCGCTCACGGTGACCAACTTCAGAGGACGCCGCTCTGAGAGTGAAGGTGAAGCAACGTGTTCCTTAACGATGTGGCACCAGTGGATAGCATCCCGACTACGATGGAAAGCTGGCTCTCGGTGCTCCCCAGCAGTGCCGAGGCCCATCACCAGCAAGGGCTCCACACGGAGAAACTGAAGCGATTCGTCGTCCAATACGGAAGGCATTCCTGCACACATCAAGCAGGGAGCGATGGAACCAAGTCTCCTTCACACAAGTGCACGTTGACGTCGGGTTGGTAAAGTACGCATTCTGTCGTCGGTGGCCCCTGGAACCTCCATGGAGGGAGGTCCAGCAGTCGAGAGAGACATCGTGAGGGTCTCCCCTGAAGGAGAACCCAACCCCCAGAAGAGTCTTGTAGTACCCGCAGCCCGCACCAGGTCTCGCTTGCAAAGGCCACCAAGCAGCAGTTCGGGATTTTGGACGAAAATTGAAAATACCCAAAGAATTCTTCGAATAGCTAAAAAAAATACCCATAATATCGTCCTCAGACTATTATTTGACTATTGTTGTATATTCCCCCTGTGGAGGGACAGGCCCGACACAAACCAAGCAGGCAGGGCGGCTGGGCCCTCGAGCAGGCAGGACGGCTGGGCAGGTCGTGTGTTCGACGCGCCTGCCTGACGCCAGGCCGCCCCTCTTGCTGCCTTCGCCCCCGGCCGCCAGCTTGCAGCGCCATCTGGGCCATCCTCGCCGGGGCACCGTTTCCGAGTCCGCGGACGCCGCCTCCTCCTCCTCCCCCTCCTCCCCCTCCTCCCCCTCCTCCTCCCCTCCTCCCCCTCCTCCTCCCCCTCCTCCTCCCCCTCCTCCTCCCCAGGCCGCCCCTCTTGCTGCCTTCGCCCCCGGCCGCCAGCTTGCAGCGCCATCTGGGCCATCCTCGCCGGGGCACCGTTTCCGAGTCCGCGGACGCCGCCTCCTCCTCCCCCTCCCCCCTCCTCCCCTCCTCCTCCCTCCCCCTCCTCCCCCTCCTCCTCCCCCTCCTCCTCCCCCTCCTCCTCCCCCTCCTCCCCCTCCTCCTCCCCCGTGGCTCCTTCTCCTCCTCCCCCTCCGCCTCCCCCTCCGCCCCTCGGGCGGCAGGGCGCACGGAAGGGCGGGGGGGGGGGGGCCGGGCCTCCACCCGCAGCCCCTCGACCGCCATCGCCCTGCCCTCGCGGATCAGCGCCGTCCCTCTCTCGATGTCGCCCCGCAGGTCGCCCTCGGGCCGGCAGGAAGGGAGGGAGGGAGCGAGGGAGGGAGGCCACTCTCTGGGCAGTCTGCGCCTGAAGAGAAATCACGAGCCTGCAGGGCGCTGGTCTTTCGAGGGTTCGCTTCCTGCAGTGAAGAGAGAGGCTTGAACCGTTGACGCATATTGCAACATCGTTGATGCTGATTGGGCTCGCTCGGGTTCTCCTCCTCCTCCTCCTCCTCCTCCTCCTCCTCCTTATCCTCTGACTCCTGAGTCCTGTGACTCCAGCGGCGGCGCCTCCGACCATGTCACTGTAGGTGTGCCACCGGTTCAGGCTGCGCTTCTCCCCCATTCCTTCCCTCCCCTTCCTCGCCCCTGTCCCCCTCCCCCTCATCTCTTCCCATCTCCCCCCCCCCGTCCTCGCCACCCTCCGCGTGGACAGCGAGACTTGGAGAAGAGCCGGGGGCCGCTCGGCGCCCCAGCCCCAGCCCGAGGCGCCCGAACGCGCGGGGCGGGCGCGCGCCTCCGCACCCCGCTGCCTTCGCTGCAGCCTCGAGGATGTGGCGCCGCCACCGCCGTCGTCGGCTTCAGCCACGCCGCCCGCGGGCTGCCTTCGGAGACCGACGGGGGGGGAGGGGGGCCGGGCAAGTTGAGTTGTTTGTGGCTGCTCAGCAAACTCCAAAGAATCCCCAGGCCATCCTGGTCTTCGGAGCCGTCCACCTCCTCCTCCTCCTCCTCCTCCCCCTTCTTCTTATTCGTATTAGTAACCATCTCATTGTTATCATTATTACCCTTGTTCTTATCATTCCTGATTCTTATATAATAGCATTACTATTGTTTTTCGTATTCTTCTTGTTGTTATCAGTATTATGAATATCCTCCTCCTCCTCCTCCTCCTCCTCCTCCTCCTCCTCCTCCGCTGCCCCACAAGGGTATGGCACGTTACATTTTGAACATGCCCCGTGATACGATCTCTGCGGATTTGGCTGGTGCCACGTATCACTTTGACACACTGTGAGGGAATTGGGCGAACCCCATTTGGAACTTCATTCTGTTGAAAGACAGGAGCTAGACAAACAGACGAACCAAGTGCAAAACTAGGCGTATCATGCTTGCTGAAGGCATACCTGCGCAATGCAATGAGTTGAGATACGCGCAATGAAACAAATAGCAGCGCATACTAGCACCACCGAACATACCATGATATAGCAGCATTGCAAAGCATTAAGTAGCCTGGCGTGACACTGGATAGCAAAGCATGGCATCGCATAGTATAGTTTTGCGCAGCATTACATTGCATTGCTCAGCACGGCAAGACTTTGCATAGTATTGCAGCGAACGGTATGGCACATCATCGCATGACAGAGCACGGCATTACGCAGAGACACATTGCAAAGCAAAGCGCAGCACTGCATTGCCAAGCACGCCATAGCATGACACAGCGCAGCAACACATAGCACAAACATACATATAACGCCCTGGCCGCGAGGAACCGGCCAACTGGGAGCTAGCAGAGAGCGGTTCTCGTCATACCAAAAAGTAAGAATCCCACGAGCAAGCCCAGCCTGGCAAATTCCAATAGAGAAGACATTAACACTGGGCTGGCTTCAACGGGAACGATCTGGCATGTGTTGAGGCATTACTTTGCATTGCTGTGTAGTGCCCTGGTTTGCTTTGCAGTGCAAGGCAATGCGGTGCAGCTCTTGCGTTGTACGTGTATGTCCCACTTGCGTGCATTGCGCTGCATTAGTTTGATGTGTTTATACTGTATTCGAATCGCATTGGGTCGAGCTGCGTTCATGTGATGTGCGCTGATCAGTTTTGCAACAGGTTGCTCTGCGCAGCCTTGTTTTGCCTGACATTGACATGTAATGGTGCGCATTGCACTGCACTTCTTCGTGAGGAAATATTCGCCAGTGTGGATCCCAAACAGTGATTTCCACAATGTACATACGGTGGGGGCATTGAACAAGGAAGCATTGGATAAGGAATCCAGAGTCCCGAAGCCAGTGGAACTACAATCGTGAATTGGCCATGGATATCAACGCCACCCTCATCAGATAGGGAACCCTCCAGGGTCTGCAGCCTCCTGGGCACATTCCTTAACGAACGCCCCCATCGCACATACATACCTACATACATACATACATAAATACATACGTGCATACATACATACATACATACATACATACATACATACATACATACATACACATACGTACATTCTATGCGGTACCAAGCAACGCAAAGCAATGCAGCAATGTAAAGCAATGCAAGCCAACGCACTGCAATGCAAAGCGATGCAAAGCAATGCGACTGCAAAGCAATACGAAGCTATGCAAACAACGCAAAGCAACGCAAAGCAGCAGAATGCACAGCACTGCAAAGCCATACAATGCAATGCATTGCAAAGCAATGCAGAGCAATGCAAAGTAATGCGAACGTGAGCCTCGCAAAAAACAAAAAAACAAAAAACAAAATCTTGACCAAAGACGGCGGCGACGGGCAGCCACAAGCCCGCTGGACCGACAACCAGGCCCAGTTCCTTAGAAGAGAAGTATAAGACCCCCTAAGTGCAAGCACAGTTTGGGGAATACTGCGCTATACTTAACGGGGGAAGTGGTCGGGCACCCAGCCTTGGGTCACGATCCCCACCAGCTCTCTTGCACTCTTGCGCGGAAGGAAGGAGGATCATCCACGCAAAGCGAAATTATGGCTTTGCATTTACGTCCAGACATCAGGATCGCACACTACTGCCCTCGAGGAGCTGCAACAAACTCGAGTTGGTCCACGCAGAGCCACCCCAACCCAGTTCCAACCCAGCCTGGCCAGCACAGGCTGGACCTGCACAGATACCCAAGAATAGCTCAGACAGCTCAGTATTCCTATCTGGCCTGGCATGGTCACACTGGCCAGCCAGCACAAAGAGCCAGCCCAGCGCCCAGCGCAGCCAGCACATTCACCCAAGCCAAGTAACCCATCCCAGCACAGCACACCACAACCAGCACCGCCAGCACTTGTGCAGCCGGCCAGCCCAGCCCAAACCCAGCCTGCCCATCCAGCCCATCACCCTCCATCCAGTCAGCCAAACACAGCCCACAACGCACAGCCCACAGACCAGCTTCAACCAACCCAGCCATGCGAGCACAGCCAAGGCGGCCTAGCAGCCCAGACTGACATATCCAGCCGATGCCGCCAACCTGGATAGCTCACCCAGCTAGTCAGCCAAAGCATCCGAGCACAACCAAACAAAGCCCGGCAAAGCACAGCCTGGGACAGCCCAGCACAGCACAGCACAGCCAGCCCAGGCGAACTAGTACTCAAGCATAGTTGGCCCAGCTAGCTCACTCAGACAGCCCAGGCTAGCTCAGCAAAGCCCATCGTAGCCGAACATATGCGCACAGCCGTGCCATCCCGGCCAGCCAGCCAGCTCCACCCGACCAAGACCAGCCAACTCAGAAAAAAGCCTGGCCTGGCAGAGCAGTCAGCCAGCACACACACACACACATACTACTCCCACAAGCACAGGTCGCCCATCCAACCCCAGTCCATCACACCCCAGCACGCACCAGCAGGGGGGGGGGCGGCAGGAGGAGGGAGGGGGAGGGGGTAAGGGTGTATCGTTGTGTAGGCGGCTTGTGTGCAAGGGTGAGATTTAAGACTACCATCATCATCATCATCATCAGCATCATCATCATCATCATCATCATCATCATCATCATCATCATCACCATCATCATCATCATCATCATCATCATCATCATCATCATCATCATCATCATCATCATCATCATCATCATCTCGTCGTCGTCGTCGTCAGCAGCAGCATCACCGTCATCAGCATCATCATCATCATCAGCAGCATCATCATCATCACCAGCACCATCATCTCGTCTTCATCTTCCTCCTCCTCATCTCCCCTCTCCTCCGCGCAATCAAATGAACAAGACATCTGCACAAGCAAAAAAAATAAGAAATCCATACAATCAAAACCAATAGAAAACCCACACAAACAACAACAATCAGAAATACATACAATCAAAAACAAGAAGAAGTCCATACAATCAAAAACAATCAGAAATCCATATCATCATAAACAAAAAAATAAACAATAAGAAATAGTCTTGGGTCCACGAACCCTGCGAGGGTTTCAAGAAAACATTGCGATGGTTCCAAAAAACAGGAATCAATGGTTTTCTGGACTTCGGACTTTCTCCGGGTCCCTCGAGGTGAGATTCCAGGCAGCCTGAAGTCCCGAAAACCATTGATTTCTGACTTGTTGGGAACACTCACAGGTTTTATTGGTTGTTATTGTTTTTTTGTTTTTTTTGGGGGGGGGAGCCCTCACAGGGTGCGTGTACCAAAAACGTTTTCTTATCGTTTTTGACTGTCTGGATGTATTACTGTTTTTGAGTGTATGGCTTTCTCATTGCTTTTGATTGTATGGACTACTGCTTGTTTTCTGATTGTATGGATGCTTTATTGTTTTTGAATGCATGGATTTCTGATTTGTTTTGATTGTACGGATGTCTTATTATTCCTGATTGTATGGAATTATTATTGTTTGTGGTTTTGAGGTTTCCTTCTTGTTTTTTGACCTCATGGTTTTCTTTTTGTTCTTGATTGTACGGAATTCTTATTGTTTTTGAGTGTCTGGAATTCTGTGGGTTTCTGACAGTATGGATTTGAAAATGTTTTTGATTGTATGGGTTTCATACTGTTCTTGATTGTGACGTTTTCTCATTGTTTCGACTGTATGGGATTACTATTGTGTTTGATTGTACGTACGTCTTACTGTTACGATTGCGCGGGGGAAAAGGGTGATGGGGAGGCGGAGACGGAAGAGGACGAGAATGAACATGAGGAGGAACATAATGATGATGATGACGATAATGATGGTGGTGATGACGGGGATGATGAGAAACACCCCAAGCCACAGACCGTAGAGATGAGATTTAAAACTATGTGGCGTGGGGTGTTTCTCACCATCCTCAGCATCATCATCACCACCACTATCATCATCATCACAAGCATCATTATCGGGTTCCTCCTCATGTTCAGTCTCGCCCTCATCCCTCTCCCTCTCCACATCACCGTTCTCATCCGCGCAATCGTAACAGTAAGACATACGCACAATCAAACACAGTAATAATTCCATACAGTCGTCGAAACAATGAGAACACGACACAACCAAGAACAGAGAGAAATCCATCCAATCAAAAAGAATAAGAAGTCCATACAATCAAAAATAGTAGGAAATCCATTCAATCAAAAACAATCGGAAACCCATTAATCGAAAACAAAGCGAAAATCAGACAATCAAACGCAATGAAAAACCTCATAATCGAAAACAACCAGAAACCACACAAACAAAAACAGGAAAGAAAACATCGTGGGTCCACGAATCCTGAAAGGTTTCTCAACAAACAACACACACAAAACAAAAAAACAAAAAACATAAAACCTGTGAGGGCTCCAAACCAAAAAATAGTTTTCGGGATTTCGGACTTCCTCCGGGCCCCGTCCAGGCCAGATCAGCCCAGGAAGCCTGAAATCCCCAGAACCATTGATTTCTGTTTTTGGGGACTTCTCATATGTTTGTACTTGCTTTTCTGTTTTTTGGTTGGGGGGGAAGGGTTTCGGGAACCCTCATAGGGTTCGTAGCTCTGAAGCCAAGGACACCTGTGACTGTCATTGAAACACAATACAATCCATTAGAACTTTTACAATGAACTTGTGAGGGTTCCAAAGTCGTCAGGATAGGGCAACAACTCCTCCTCCTCCTCCTCCTCTTCCTCCTCCTCCTCCTCCTCCTCCTCCCTCCTCCCCCTCCTCCTCCTCCTCCTCCTCCTCGTCCTCCTCCTCCTCCTCCTCCATTCCTTCTCCTTATAAATAACTTCTTCCTGTCGCACCCCGGGGCCAGTTTTTAGGGCGGGCCGGGCGTTTCGCCTGAGACTTCCTCACCATTGATGATTCTGAAGCTTAAACACCGACAACGGCTTCACAGATGGAGGGCGGGTCGTTTTCAAAATTCGCCTTCGCGCCGCGCACATTCGTTTTAAAAAGTTGAAAGAGCTTAACGGATTGAGGGCGGGTTATTTTCAAAATGTGGCTCTCGCCTTCGCGCCGCGCACATTATTTTAAAAATTCGCCAGAGCTTCACGGGTTGAGGGCGGGTCGTTTTCAAAATGTGGCTCTCGCCTTAGCGCCGCGCACATTCGTTTTGAGAATTCGCAAGAGCTTCACGGATTGAGGTCGGGTCGTTTTCAAAATGTGGCTCTCGCCTTAGCGCCACGCAAATTTGTTCAACAAATATGGCAACAAGAGTTCTACGGAGGGAGGGCGACTAGTTTTCGAAATGTGGCTCTCGCTTTAGCGCCGCGCAGATTCGTTGTAAAAACTTGCAAGAGCTTAACGGATTGAGGGTGGGTCGTTTCAAAATATGGCTCTCGCCTCAGCGCCGCGCGCATTCGTTGTAAAAATCTGCAAGAGCTTAACGGATTGAGGGCGGGTCGTTTCCAACATGTGGCTCTCGCCTTAGCGCCGCGCACATTCGTTGTAATAATCTGAAAGAGTTTTACGGGTTCCTGTGATCAACGTACTAGAAACAATGTTTTGAACGGATTCAGGATTATGCCAGTGCAACAATTATGTTGCACCCGCGGTGTTGAATTCCCAAAAGTGGCGCTCTGGCACGATTCCGGATCGTCAAGACGCAGCAGTCAGGATGATAGGTGGCTTTGAAATCCCGAGAACAATGGTTGGGCATGCTTCATCTTCACGGTTGTCTTCCAACGAGGCAGTTCCCTCAATTGAAATGAACGCTGTGGGGACCTATAAAGAGGGAGCTTGGAGGAAGGGCTAATTCCAACATCGTTGATGACTCTTGGGTTTACACTGGTCCTCCTCCTCCTCCTCCTGCACTTCCTGCTCCTCCTCCTCCTCCTCCTCCTCTTCCTCCTCCTCCTCATCCTCCTCCTCTTCCTCCGACTCCTCGTCATCATCATCGTCATCATCAGCATCATCATAGCGACGACGATGATGATGATGATGATGATGAGGAGAAGAAGGGGTAGGAGTGGACGAGGACGAGAATGAACATATTGTGATGATGACGGTGGTGATGATGATGACGATGATGAGTAGGAGGCGGACGAGGCGGATGGATGATGATGAGGACGAGGATGCTGAAGGATGGTGCTGACAATGATGACGAGGAGGACGGGGAGGGGGGATGATGATGACGATGATGATGTTGATGATGATGATGAGGAGGAGGAGGAGGAGGAGAGATGATGATGATGATGATGATGATGATGATGATGATGATGATGATGATGATGATGGTGATGATAAGGAGGAAAGCAGCCAGCTGGACCGGCAGGAAAGTCAGCCCTCCTCCATCCCCCTTCTCATCCTCCTCCGCTTGCCCCCGTACTTCCTCGTCGTCGTCCTCCTCCTTCTCATCATCGTCATCCCTCCTCTTCCTCCCCATAACTGCCCCTCCTCCTCATCATCACCACCACCATCATCATCATCATCATCATCAGCATCATCAGCATCATCATCATCATCACCACCACCCATTCTCCTCCTCATCCTCCTCCTCATAACCATCATCATCATCAGCAGCATCATCGTCATCATCATCCCTCCTCCTCCCCATCTTCCTCGCCATATCGTCAGCACCCGCAGCCAGGTGGCGAATGGATGTTGACAGAAAACGCATGGCGCGGCCCTGATGACGATGACGAGGAGGAGCAGGAGGAGGACCAGCACGGATAATGATGATGATGGGATGTGATGATGACGAGGGGTGATGATGACGACGACGATGAGGAGGGGGCGGAGGGGGGTGAGGATGTTGACCATGATGATGATGATGATGAGGAGGATGAGGAGGAGGATGGGGATGGGGATGGGGATGAGGATGAGGATGAGGATGAGGATGAGGATGAGGATGAGGATGAGGATGAGGATGAGGATGAGGATGGAGGAAGGGAGAGAGAAAGGGAGAAAGAAAGCAAGACACACTCACACGCACACACGCACACACACACGCACACACACACACACACACACACACACACACCTGCACTCTCACACACACACACACACACACACATACACACACACACACAAAGATACCACCGCCACAGGGGGAGGAAGGGGCGTCCAGGGGAACAGGCACGGTCAGGGAGGGAATGCAGGGGGGGGGGGGCGGCATGGGCAAGTCCAGGCGCTTCGCCTCTCGCGAGCAGGCTGCGGGGCAGGCAGCCCAGATAGTCGAACTGCATGCCGCGCCTCGAATCGGCAACCCTTGGCACAGCACGAAATCCCAGCGACGGCCACGAACACTCCTGACTCGTGGCCGCCGACGAGAGCAGCCAGCACGAAAGCCCAGCTGGTACCCCAGCGTGGACACATGCCATAAATCGCCAAGCAGCAAGTACCCTCTGTCCGTGATGTCCATGTCGCCGCTGTCTGCAGGGTATAACGCAACAAAGGCGGAAAGCGCTGCACTCCCCCAGCAGCCAGGACCTGGGGGCGACGGCCAAACCTGGCGAAGAAGCCGAGGAAAACGTCGCAGCAATAGCCTCCGCCGCAGTCCTACCCGCAAGTGGCGTCCCTGCCTCCAGGGTTTCGCCACTAACTGGGGTGACACCTCGGCTCAGATTCCTGATGCAGACAAATTCTCCTTGCATCTGATACTGGCGTTCGTGGAAGGCCGCATTCTGTACCCCTGCTGGAACTTCTTGCTGAGCCTATTGCAGTCGCTGGCCCAGGCCCCGCAGATAGTGCAGAAAGTCGCGAACCCGTTCCTTGCAACAGTATGGCCTTCACCGAAGGCTGGCGGCACACTCGCACCACGAAGCCCAAGCTTGGTGGTGAGGATGGGGATCTTCCCCCAGCGGCCGCGCCCGCCTCCTCGGCGGGAGGCGGCGGTGCGTCGGGAGCGTTGGCGGCGTCGGCGAAAGACAGGCGCAAGAACCTCCCCGCTACCACGCCCTGGTGTGTACGCCGTGGCAACAACATCCATGCGCCCAGCTCTGTGAAGATGACAGCCCAGAAATTGAATTGCCCGAGTGCCTCTAGGCCGAGCCCGTCTCCGGGATCGCGTCCTCCAGGCTCTCGTGTGCAAGAACCCACTAGCCGTAGGTCGCGGGCTGTGCCCGTTGACTGCAGCCCGGCGACGTCGCCAGGCAACTTCGCGCGGGGGGGCGGAACAGGGGTGACATGCGGGATGCGGGAGGATCAGAGGACCGACTGGAAGCAGGGGCGAAGCACGGAGCACAGGGGAAACCCAGGAGGGGACGACGAGGAGCGGAAGATGCGCCCCCCGCGCCTGGGCTCTCCCGCGCGCCTGCGATGCTTACGGCGCCGGGCTGGGCCTGCGGCGCCGTCCTCGGGCTTAGGGGGGGAAGACGAACGCTCGTCCTCTCATTCTCGCTCCGTCCCTCTCCTCCTCCCCCCCCCTCCAACTCCCTCCTCTAAGCCCTTCCTCCCTTCTATCCCAGGTGTCGTCATCCCTCCTCGTCTGAACCCCCCTCTCTCTCTCTCTCTTTCTCTCTCTCTCTCTCTCTCTCTCTCTCTCTCTCTCTCTCTACATTCCCCATGTGCGCTCCCTACTCCTCTCTCGTCACAGCCGCTCCTTCTCCCCTCCTCACTACCAGGCCGAGAGCAGGCTGGGCAGGATGGGTGGAAACGTTCCCGCCTGCCAAGAGCGAGAGAGAAAGAGAGAGAGAGCAAGAGAGAGAGAGAGAGAGAGCGCATCACTTCGGACAATGTCACCGCCCAGGCCCCTGAGCCACGTGTGCCCAGCGGACCCGCCACACGAAGCGGGAGGCGCCGCACGCTACACAGGAGTGGTGGGATAACGCCCCCCCTTGGGGCGGACTTGCGGGGGTCCGCGGCTGGAAAGAGAGACGGCTGGCGAAGATCAGACCCCGCTGGGGCCCGTCTGCGCCACCGTGAGGCGCTGGCTTCGAGCGCGCGCTGGCGCGCGCGCGCGCGCCCCGGGGTCCTGCGAAGAGGGGCGTCCCCCGCAGCGGCCCAGAAGAGGCAGACAACGGAACAAGTACCAACTGTTCACGCGGCCCGCGAGCAGAGGCAAACGGCACCGCCCCACATTGGGGTGCAAGGGCCACCCCTCTTGACCTGAGAGCAGCAGGGACCAGCACCAGCGCCCGTGTAGGCACGGAAGCCCCCAGCTCCGCCCGACCCCCCACCAACGGCGCCAAGAGGCCCCGCCAGCGAAGGGACCAGGCAGGACCAGGGGAGGTGCAAGGGCCCGTCCACCCCGCGGCGCAGGAGGGGGTTTGCACCCACCGAGGGGGCCGACTGCAGAAAAGGCGAAAAACCCTCAGCGTAAGGAAAGCTGGCCCACTGGACAATGCAAGCCAGGGGCCCTCACGCGACGAAGCATGCCTCAGACCGTGCAGCAGGTCCCGATCTGCCCAGGCGCTTGCCTGGTGGCGCGCATCAGGGGGCAGAGGAGGCAGCAGCGGCACCAAGGGGCAGTGTGAGCCTGGGGATGGAGCCACCAAGGGACGCGGGCGCCAGTCAGTGCCAGTCAGTGCTCGGACAGCGTCGGAGTGTAGGGGCTAGCGCCGCCGTCGTCGTCGTCGTCGTCGCCGTCGTGGGGGTACGTCGGTCCGCAGCGCCGCTCCTTAAGGGTGCGTCCTTCGTAGGCGTCTTCTGCTTCCGAGGCGAGGCGATTGAAGAAGATGCGCAAGGCCCTCGCGCCCGTAGTGCCGTGGACGGCGCCGAGAATACTGGCAAGACAGAAGATGAAAGCATAAAAGCTTGTGGATGCCATGACAATGAACAATCTAACAATTGAATATGTGTTTAAAATGTGTAAAACATTGTCTAAAAATGTTTCGAACATGGCTTAACAGGTTTAAAACATGTTTGAAGTATGTGTTAGGCATCTGGACATTATTTGGCAACACGCTTCCTCTCCATTAATCGACTTCCACCAATAAAAACCATCTGCCAGAGTCGGTCGAATGTGGGGAAACCAACAGGTACCGATACCGCTACTCCCCAGACCTCTCCCGGGGTGCGCTCTGACCAGGATTTCGAGGCGAATCCAGCGGTGGCGACGAGGGCCTCCCAGGAGGCCCGAAAGGGGGAAAACGGGCGAGGGGGCAGAGGTATGGGTACCCCTTCCTCCTCCGAGTGGTCCCGAGCAGGGTGCGCGGCACAGGGCGCAGTGCGATGCGCACGGAGCCCGAGGCGCTGGTCTGCGGCCGACGTGCCGGGCCTGATGGGGGACCTTCGCCCGCCGCCCCCAGCAGGCTCCGAGAGCGGGTCGGCGTGCAGCGCAGCTGGGCAGGGGGCACCAGACTGAAGGGGCCCTGGGGCACACAAGTAATTACACACAAATAGCAGGATGATTCCCCAGAGTTTCCTATATTTTCTGCGTTTTTGTCTTCCCCCCCCCCCCGCTTCCCATATCTTCCCATATTTTCTTTTTGGAATCGACGATTCATCGTGTCTGAGTGTGTGTTTTTTCGCTCCTGACAGATGTGCACCGAGTGCCCAGAGTGCCCAGAGAGGGATGGCGCGACGGCCTGGTGACGGCGGCGGCCGCCCAGGGGCCCCGGGCCACGAGGAGCGGCAGGGGCACGCGTCGTTCATTTCTAATCGTGCTCATTTCTAATTGTGCTCGTTGCTAATTGTTCCTGGCCCCCTAGTGACCAGGAAGAGGCCCAGGACAGAGCAATTAGAAATGAAAGGCTCTTGCCCCAACAAAAAATCCAAGAACTTTCGAAGAATTGGACATGGACAATGTGTACGCTTGTCTGGCGTTCTGCGGTGTTGCCTTCGTCGGCGGGATGGCCCAGCGGCCTCCGCCTTGATGAGATTCCGCTTCTGGTTGGCACCCGTCTCCTACTTGCCTTGGTGGTGTGGTGGGATGGGTGTCGCAACCGGAGGTCGAGCAGTCAAAGGTCGGGCGTTGGCGATCGTTCCGGCCATCGGTCGACGGTCGTCGGCGGTCGTCGAGCAGTCGACAGACCGTCGTCGGCGGTCGTCAACATGGACCTGCAGAGGTGCGGGCTTGTGGCCAAGACGCGGAGCTCGGTCGTCGGACACTGGTCTATCGGAATGACGGTCGTCGGTCGTCAATCGTCGACGAATGAGGAATCGATTTTCGTTCATCGGCGGTCGTTACGGCAATCGGCGGACGGTCGTCGACGGTCGTCGGACAAACGCGGGCGCCCACTCGAGGACAGGCTGGAGTGCCGGCCTGGTAGCCTGGAGCGCCATTGAAATTAAGCGCACGTTCGGCGGAGGGGTCACAAAGGACCACGGAAGGTGGACTGACCGCCGCCTGGGCCTGGTTGCCGTCGTGGCTGATGTCCCTGCGAGTCGGCGGGCGCTCACGCGGAGGGTCGCTGCGGACTGGGTCGTGGGTTATCGTTGAGTTTGGCGTCGTGGGTCGGTCGTCGGACACTTGGTTGTCGGAGTGACGGACGTCGATCGTCACCGGTAGACCGTCGGTAGGCGGCGATCGCAACGGCGGTCGGCGGACGGTCGTCGGCGGTCGTCGGACGGACGGTCGGCAGACGATCGTCGGCGGCCTTCGAGCAGTCGGCAAAGGGTCGTCGGCGGTCGGCGACACCAGGGACGTTGTAGCAGGAGTGCGGGCCTGGTGGCCACACTGCGGAGGTCTGTGGTCGGACACTGGCGAGGAGTCGACGGTCGGTCGCTGGCGGTGGTTAAGGCATTCGGCGGACGGTCGAAGGCGGTCGTCGGACGAAGGTTAGGAAGGCACCAACTATACACCAACACCGATCCTGGCCAGGATCACCCTGGGCCCAGGATCGGTGTATACGCCCTCCTGCCTTGCGCAAGAAGGCATATACACCGATCCTGGTCCCAAGGTGATCCTGGGCCAGGATCGGTGTTGGTGTATAGTTGGTGCCCTCCGAAAGGTGGGCGCCCACTCAAGGACAGGCTGGAGTGCTGCCCTGGTGGCCTGGAACACCAGTGAGGTTGATCGGACGCTTGGCGGCGGGGTCACAGTGGACCACGGTGGGTGGACTGCCTGCCGCTTGGGCCTGGGGGCCGTCGTGGCTGATGTCCCTAAGGGTCGGCGGACGCTCGCTCAGAGGGTCGCTGTGGACTACGTCTTGCGTCGTCGTTCGGTTCGGCTGACACTCATCGGGCGTCGGCAGACCGTCGTCGGCGGCCAGTACATCGGCGGACGGCCGTCGGACGTCGTAGGGTCCGCTGGTACTGCACGGATCCTCGTAGCTGATATCCCTGGGAGTCGGCGGCCACTCAGAAGGAGGGTCACAACGAACTGCGTCGGGGGGGACAACACGGAATTTGGCTGGATCGTTGGCCTGGCTGCCACACTGGGCTGGACCACAGGTGGTCTTCGGACACGTGGCAAATGGGTCGTAGCGAACCGCGGCGGGCGGTCTAGCTGCACTGCGGTTCCGCGCCCAACCGATATTCTGAAACGGCCGAACGCCTGAGCCCAAACAGCCACAGACGAAGGGCAAGAGGATCAGTGCGGGCGCGGCCGCAAGAACCCCTCGCAAGACACCTAACCCTGAGAACCCGTGCGCGAGGTGCACCTGAGGGGAAACCTGGAACTCCCCTGAACGCAACACCCTTTTCAACGGCCTCGGGAAGTCACCGCACAGCGCGAGGAGCGAAGAAACCCAGGATACCCTGACGAAAAGCATATGGTTTCTTGATGCGCGCCCCCACTGTACGCATTCGTGTTGGCACACGGAGGCCAACCGAGCCTGCATGCAAGAACCATCACGGGCGTGCCGGGCCGGGCGGGCGGACACCGACGGGCGGGCTGGGTCGTGCGGGCGAGACTGGGAAGCACGATGCATAAACGAACTGGCACGCAAGAACTCCAACGGCCGCGTCGGGTCGGGCGGGCAGACCCTACCAGGCGGGTCGGGTCGGGCGGGCGGGACATCAGAGTTCGAGCTTCCTGGACGTAAAGACCTAACGGGCGATGCGGACACGGCGAGCGGAGGCGACTGGGGGGAACGGGTCGGGCGGGCGGGACACTGAAGCATTATGTTTAATCGAGCTGGCACATAAAAACACTAACGGGCGGGTCGGGTCGGGCAGACGAGACATGGAAGTATGATGCAAGATCGGGTGGGCACGTAAGACGTCGTCGTCGTCATCGTCGTCGTTGTGGCAGTCTTCATCGTCGGCCGTCCTCGTCATCGTCGTCCCGCGGGGAGGCGAATGAAGATCACAATGATAGTCAACGAAAACCTAGTCCAGCCCAAAGCGACGGCTGGCGAACACCTCCATTGACAGCGCGAGGAGGGTGGACAACATGGCCTCTTGAACACTGACTGAATGTTTCTCGGGCTTCGGTTCGAAGGTCCACGACAGGACAAGGCCCTCCTCGGGCACCGCCTGGTATTAATCCGGTGCTTGCCGCAAAGCGTGAGCATCCAGGGGAAGAGGAGCGGGAAGGGGAGAGGGAAGGGGAAAAGAGAGAAAGGGTAGACTAAACAAGCCAGGTGCGCTGGCGCCATAACCGACATCCTACCTCTCCAACCCATCCCTTCCTAAGGTGCTGTTGTTTTTTCTCCGGAGAGGTGCGGAGATGGTAGGGGATAAATAAAGGGAGCGAAGTGGACCAGAATGGAGCGGGGGAGGGGGGAGCGGACCAGAGTGGAGCAAGGGGAGGGGAGCGGAAGGAAGAGAGCGCAGTAAGAGAGCGCAGTAAGTGGGCATGCCAGATGGGCGAATCGGAGAGGCTGTCCTCTGCCTCATCTGCCTCTGCCTCCTGCTTGCCGACGTGGCCGTCGACTGGGTCTGGGAGCGGACTCGCCACGACTCCTGGCTCGGTGGCGCAGCAGATCTCAAGTTCCTCCTCCTGTTCTTGCTCCTCCTGGCTACGAGGCCTGGCCAGATCTGGCCACGCGGAGAAGCGCAACCTCCGATCGAAGGATGGGGAACGCGGATATGTGGCAGCACAGGGCCACACATGCAAGCAAAATCACACACCTATGTTGTGAAGGTCTTACGGCCAGTGCCGCCGACCCTGAAGGTGGGACCTCCCCCGGGACCCTGGGACGGCGCTGGGGCCGGGGCCGTCGTATCGGACCACCCCAGCTCCCTGGAACCACCCCCGCCCTCACCAGCGGGGGAGGGATCAAAAGGGAAGTGCTTCCCTTCGATTCACTTACCTCGTTGATCCATTCCACTGTCCGGAATCGACCCAGGGCCCCCCGCCCCAGCGGCGGAGGGATCAAATGGAAGGGACTTCCCTTCGATTCGATTGCAACATGGATCAATTCCACTGGAATCGCCCCAGGGAGCCCGTCGCCCCTGTGACCCCCCCAACGACCCCCCCCCACCAGCGGGGGAGGGATCCAAGGGAAGGCGCTTCCCTTCGATTCAATTACGGCGTTGATCAATTGTACTGCCTGGAATCGCCCCAGGGAGGCCGTCGTATCTGCTGGCCCCCACCCCCCTAGGGTCCCCCCAACGGCGGGGGAGGGATCAAATGGAAGGGGCTTCCCTTCGATACCATTACGACGTTGCTCAATTTCGCTGTGGCTGTGGCTGGCGCGCTGGAGGAAGAGACCTTGGAAAGCGAGGGGGGAGACAGCGATCACGACGAACGAATGACGGAAGTAAAGATTCGAACGGAAAAGCCCCTCACACACGCCGACAGAGTCGACGAATTTACACATGCACACGTACGCGCATATGGCAATACGCATGCATACGAATACGTGCAGGACTTGGCATGGCACAAGCGCATGCACAAACATGTGCATGTATGAATGGATGACATATAAGTAGATGCATCCAGATGCACACGTACATACATGCACACACATACAGACAGACATGCATACACACATACGTACGCATGCACATACTACATACATGCATACATGCATACCAACTAACATACGTGCGTACGTACATACATGCGCACATACATGGATACATACATGAATACAGACGTAAATGCATGCGTGCATACATGCATACACACATGCATGCCTACATACCGACCTACCTGCCGACCTACCTCCATACATACATACATACATGCATGCATGCATACATACACCTATACGTATACACATGCATGTCATGCGTACATACAAGCATACCTGCACACACACACACACATACATACATAAACACATACATGCATTCACACATGCAGGCATACATGCATGTATGCATACATGCATAATGCCATGTCTGTATACATATATACAGATTTACGTATGTACGTACGTATCTACATACGTACATGCATGCTTACATACAGGCATGCTTACGTGCGTACAGCAATACATGCTTACATGCTTACATAAGTGTAAGCATGCATGCATACATACGTGCATACGTACCTGCAAACATTCCTGTATATATACACATACATGCATACATACATGCATGCATGCATTCATGCATGCATGCATACACTTGTATGTACACGCATGTGTATACACACACATATGTACATGTATGTATGTGTATACGTGCATACAAACATGCATACACACATACACACATACATTCATACATACACACATGCATACATACATCCAGACATGCATGCATGCATGCATGCATACACACATTCATATGCAGACATGTGCACACAGTCACTTGACCCGCGGCGACCTCGCGCGCGATGTCATGATGGTGGCCCCCGCAAGCGAGCGCACCAAGATTCAAGTCCGCCGATCCTGCGTGTGAGCTTACGAGCGTAAGCTTGAGCTAGCTTAATTTTCGCTCTGGGAAAAGGGGGGGCAATTTTCGGGAGGGGGGTCGCTGTGGAATGGACGGTGTTCCGTTTTCGAAAGGGAGAGGGATGTTCAGCTTTGGAAGGGAAGCTGTTCTTTCTGTCTTCGGGGGGGGGCTTGGTTTCGCTTTGGAGGGGAGGGGGGGGGTATTCCGTTTTCGGCGGAGGGGGGTTCGTTTCGCTCTGGGGGGGATCGGGGTCGGGGCGGGGGGGCTGGGTTTCGCTGAGGAGGGGAGGGTGGGGCTGCTCCGTGTTCGAGAGAAGGAAGGCTCGTTCCGCTTTGGAGGGGAAGGGGGGGGGATTCCGTTTTCAGGGGGGGGGGGGAGCGCTCGTTTCGCTTTCAGGGGGAGGAGGGGGGAGAGGTTGTTCCGTTTTGGGAGGCCAGGCTTGGACTGGGGCCAGGGCTGGGGCCGGGGCCGACGTCGGGGCTGGAGCTCCGGGCCGGCCAGGGCAGGGCCGGGGCTGGGGCTGGCCGGCTGGAGCCGGGCAGAGCAGAGGGCCAGACGCCCGGGGGCGCGCCAGCTGGCGCCATACTGTAGCGCCCTCACGTGCTTCCTCCAAGCACCTTCGTTTTGCACGAGGTCGAATTCCCATCGCAGATGTTCCGAAACCGGGGCGGGGCTGGGGCCAGACGCCAGACGCGGAGCCGCGGACGGCCGTGGCCGGGGGCCAGGACCAGGGCCGGGGCCAGGGCTGGAGCCAGGCGCGGAGCCAAGCCGCGGCCCAAGTTGGGGCCAGCGCTGGAGCGGATCCGAGGCAGCAGCTGGAGCCGGGCGCGGGGCCGGGGCCAGGGCCGGGGCCTTCAACGGCTTCCAGCGCCTACAAGTAAAGTCGGATCAAAAAACAAAAGTGGGGTGTAATTGTTGCCCGGGGGGGGCCCAAAAATTCTCTCTGGGGTCGGAGCCGGGGTCGGAGCCGGCCCGGGGCCGAGGACCCAGGGCTGGGGCCGGTGCTATAGAGCCGGAGCCGAACGCGGGGCAGGAGCCGGCTGGGACTGGGGCACGTGCGACGGCCAAAGCCGGGGCGGGGGCTCGTTCGGGGCCAGGGCCGAAGCCTGGGGCCGGTGCCCGAGATGTGGGGCTGGAGCCAGCCCGGAGCCGAGAGCAGGGGGGCGGGGGCCGCGGCGGGGGCCGCGGCGGGGGCCGCGGCGCGTGTGGAGCCAGCAAGATGAGAGCTTGGACGGGGAGTGCAAAAGGAATTTGTGAGTGGAGGGAGAGACGGGGAAAAACAGCAGAGGGGAGGGGGGGGAGAAGAAGAAGAAGAAGAAGAAGAAGAAGGAAATGGGGAAAGGGTCACATCCAGAGGACCCAGAATCGGCGGCACTGACCGAAGGCCATTATAATTAAAACGACGGCCTGCAATTCGATGCAGAGCAAATAGGGCAGCGACAAAAACAACGAAAAAACGTGCCAAAGTAAAAAAAGCGCAGAACCAAGAGAGAGAGCCAGGAGTGGAAGGAGAGGGGCAGGAGACAGCAATGGACCGACGGGCGAACCGACAGACGGATCGAGAGGGGAGAAAGCGAGAACACAGGTTCTCGGGGGCATGAGTCAAAAGCTTCTGGGCCACCCCCAGCCGTCTTTGGGCCGTCTTAGAGCCACTTGAAAGAATGCTGGAAATGAGACCCTGGGGTATTTGGGAACCGTTTTGGGGCTCGTTCGAGGGCCTCTTGAGCTGCCTTGGGGCCCTCTTGGGGCCCACTTGGCCCGTGCTGGGGCCGTCTTTGGCCCTTCTTGGGCCGTCTTGGGGCTCTCGTGGACCTCTTTGGCAGTCTTGCTCCCCTGCGGGGGGCCTCCTGGGCCGTGTTGAGCCACTCTGAAGGCCCTCTGAAGTCATCTTGAGCCCCTCTTGGACCGTCGTGGGCCCTTCCCAGGGCACTCCTGGGCTCTTTCGGGCAGCGTATGGGCGAGCTTGGAGGTCTCTTGGCCACTCGTGGGCGCCCTGAGGAGCGGAAGGCAAATATGAAGAAATCATACAACAACCAATTGGAAACCCTTGATTTGACTGTCGCCTGGAGGAATGCTCTTCGAGTCCCCTGGGCTCGTCTGAGGGGCCGCTCGAGACGTTTTGAGTCGACTTGGGGATGTTCGAGCGGCCCTTGGGCCCTGTTGGGCCGCTCGCGTCGCTTACTCGTCGTGCCCGCCCAGAACTGTTTTGAGAGGCCACTGAGAGGCCCTGGAGGGGGGCCAGCTTTCCGGTGCCGAAGAGGGGGGAGAAATCCGAGAGGGTGTGCCAGCCTGGGGTTTGGGCCCCCAGGCACACCAGCATATCAGATACTCACCTCTGAAGCTGATCGTGCCCCACAAGGAGCTCCACCGACGGCCCAAAAAACAAGGCTTGCACCCCGCCGCTCCGCCCATTTCGGCACACCCTTCGTGCGGATCGTGGGAGTTCCGCGTACGGGTGGACTGGGAAGATTTTCATGGCGTGCATATCTCGACTTACCCCTCCAGCAGATCGTGCCCCACAGTGAGCTCGACCTACGGCCCTGGCGAGAAGGCTCGCATGGCGCCCCACCGACCATTGGAGGAGGAGTGGCCATGCGGCACCATGCTGGCCCCCCTGGGGCGCCATCATCCCCAGCTGCATCACGGCCATCTGCGACACCATCATACCCTGCATACCTTCAAGGCCTGAAAATATGGTTGGAAACGCTGGACGGGTCATCCCCATTGCCCCGCTCACTTGCGCTCGCCGCCGACACCCAGTGAAGTGAACCCAGAGATCCGGTGTCGTGATTTTTCCCATACGCGGTCCCCCGAAGTCTCGACCCATTCCCTAAGACCGGTTGTTCATCCTGAGTCGTTTTTTGACGGTCCCGGGGCCTGGCCCCTAGAGGCCGAAAATTCAGAAAAACCTCCGTCTTGATTTGTTCAATACGTAGGACCTCTGGTGAAGTGAACATGGCTTGCCCCAGCTGGGCCAACCGCACGTCGGAGATGCAGCGAGGGGAGCACACGACCAAGGTGCTTTTGTCCGCGGTCGTGTCCGCGGTCTGGGCGCGCAGCGCGCCTTCTAGCAGGCGCTAGGGGGTCCAACCCACGCGCCGCGCCACCACTCTTAGGACGGTCCTGTCCCCCTACAGGGGGATTTGGGGCGTAAAAGTAAAAATGCCCAAACAATGCCCAAAAGGTGCCCAAACATACTCAAATGTTTGGACTATTTTTGAAGATTACCCCTGTAGAGGGACAGGCCCGACTGAACACCACTCCCTCTCCACCCCACGCGCACGCCACTCCTCCCTCCGCCAAAATCCGCTCAACGTGGCTTCCCGGACTCCTCCCGGGTCCACATGCACCAATTTTCGGAGCTGCGTCCAACCGTGGCGACGACTCTGGGTGCCCGTTTGGACTGTCTTGGGCGCCTCTTGGACCGTCTTGGGGCCCTCTTGCGCCGTCTACGCACCCTCTTGGGGTATCTTGGACCTTCGTGGGCGGTGTTCGGACCAAAAAACGAACGTGCTAAACATGTGCGTTCCCCGAAGGGAAATGAAACGATGGTTGCCTCGTGGGGCCCTCGGAGGTCCTCTTGGAGCGCTCCTAGGGCTCGTGACGATGGGAGAGAGCACTGGCGCAGGTGTGCCGTGCACTGCGCGGAGTGCCTCGGAGAAGCGGTCCGTGCAAGCGTTCGTGCAATGCTTGAAACATGTTGGGGGCGGCAAGCCAGGTGCGGCAGGCGTTGGCAGAAGGGATGTGCCGTTCCGTGCGTGGCCGAAGGCTTGCGAGGACTGCCGCCGCAGCTATCGACTCCCTCGGGGCGTTCGGGAGGCTTCTGGGGCGGTCTGGTGGCCCTCCTGGGCGCTCCTGGAGCGCCTTCGGGCGGTCCCGAAACCTCTTTGGAGTCCCGAAACGGTGCGGTGACAGACCGTGCAGTGACCTCAAAACCCTCCAAGACCTCACCGCACGGTCCGTCAGCGCACGGTTTTGGGATCTCGGGGGCCCGAGTCGCCCGAGACGTCCTCGGAAAACGACCCGAGTCCCAAAACCGTGCGGTGACCCCGAATTCCCACCGACTCACCGCACGGTGTGGTCACCGCCCCGTTTGGGGGCCCCCGAGCCTCAGAGGCCTCCAGGAGACCTGCCCGGAGGAGGGGGGGGGGGGGGGGCAGAATGCACAATGGAGGTCCTGGCCCTGGGGCCCCGGGGCCGGGATCTCCCATATGTATGTATGTACAGATATGCACATACATATACATACACATGCCGAATAGGAATATGCAGATCTATATACACAACTGGTATTTATAATGGCATATACATCTACATATACACATACATAAAGAGACATAGAGGTATAAGTATGAATGCATTCTGGATATTCTGCATTGGCGCTTCGCGACATGCACATTGCTCCATGGAGGAAGAAGGAAGCGTCTGAGCGCGTTTGTATAGAACTCGAACGATTCCCATGACACGCCGACGAATTCGCAGTAGCTGCGAGCAGGCTCGATCGGCGAGCCCTTCGATTGGTGAGCATTTCCGGGAGCCTCCGGAGGCTTCCGGGGCGCCTTTGGAGGAGCCTCCGTGGGTGATTTGGGGCCACCGTCCTGCCAACCAGAGGACTGTCTTGGGGCCTTCTGGGGCTCCCTTGAGGACATCTTGGAGCCGTTTGGGCCCATGTTGGGGGTCCCTGTTGACTCGCCGGACCCCCGCCTGGGTGAGTTGGAGACGATGGGGGCTCCAAGACCCCGTCGTGGGGCGATTTGGGGCGTTTGGGTCCCATTTCGACAGCAATGCGCGCGCTACACAGGGGCAAGAACAGTACACGGAGATGACGAGAGAGAGAGAGAGAGAGAAAGTCACGGAGCCAAGCACGTGTTTTGTCCAGCGGCGGGGTGGCGGCATCGTCGCGAAGCGCTAAGCCTGGACACGCCTAGGCGAATTCCCACCTGGCGTAGCGGATGGGCGGACTGGAAGGTGGCACTCGTTTCCAGAAGAACGCGGGAACGCGCGTGCACGTGGGAGATGCCAGATCGACCACGCAATCGCGGAAGTCCTGGCCGAGCACCGCCGAGTAGCTGGTTGGCAAGCGCTCAAAAGGGGGGCAGCTTGCGGTGAGAGCGTAGGGTGTGAGGCGAACCTTCACGGACCGAGCGGGTGCAGCCCACCTGCAAGGGCGCGCCGACACACGGGAGAAAAAGGCCAGCCCCAGGCAGGCGCGACGGGAAAGGGAGAAAAGGCTGCGACCAGGCCCCCCCCCCCGAAAAAGAATGCAGCAGCCGTGTCCGCACGGAGCGCGCCAGCGTAAGGGCCGCTCCGCTGCTCGCGACGCTGCCCATGCCTACGAGAAGCAGCGCCACAGCAGGAACGATACGACGGCAGACGGAACAGCGTGCAGGCCAACGTCGGTGACGGCCGCGCGCGAAAACAACGCTGCGAGCGCAGGCGTCGGCGCCCGTTGCCCGGTTGGCACAACGCCGAACCAACCACCGACCCACCCATCCACCCGCCCGCCCACCCACCCACCCACCCACCCACCCACCCACACCCACACCCAAACCCACACCCACACCCACACCCACACCCACACCCACACCCACAGACACACCCACACCCACACCCACACCCACACCCACACCCACCCACCCACACACACACACACAACACACACACCACACACACACACACACACACACACACACACACACACAACACACAAACAACGCCCCCACCCACCCACCCACCCACCCACACCCCCACACCCCACCCCCACACCCCACACCACACCACACCCACACCCACACCCACACCCACACCCACACCCACACCCACACCCACACACACACACACACACACACACACACACACACACACACACGGAGGGCGGAAACCGTCGGCCCGAAGAGCAAAACAATCGAGCGCACGCGGCCGCCCCTATCAAATGATGGGGCAAGGACCCACTCGTGGATCGCCCGCGCAGCCCACATACCAGGGCATGGGTAACTGGCCATCGCTCGGACGTCCATTCCCCCTGTGTTTTTGTTCGGTTTCGTGCGTGTTTTTTTGTTCGCAGGATGATCCAGGATGCTGCTTAATAATCCCCGCCGAGAAAAAATGCACACGTCCGAGCGATACCAAGGTAAAGGGGGGGGAGGACAGGACGAGCAGTGCACGCACCAGTGGGAGGCAACGGGAGGTGCAGTACAGCCAAACTGGCAGAAGCGAGAAAACGGACAGACATTGACAACGTGCAGGCGCCCAGCGAAAAGCTAGAAATGGTCTCTCTCTCTCTCTCTCTCTCACACAAACCCTTGCTTGGCGTCGGGGCCCCGCGCGCGGCGACGGGGAGCAGAAACCCGAGTGCAGGCAGTGAAACGCGCGCGTCTACGCCCAGACGAACCCTCACAGACACACACAAACATATATATATATATATATATACACACACACACAAACACAAACACACTTTGTTGGGCGGTCGGGGCCTCGCGCGCAGCGTAGCAGAGCAGGGGCGCTGGCAATGCGAATAACCTCGTTCTGAAGCAACGCAGCGAACCTCACTAATCGCACGTCGGGGAAATCGGGGGCCACGGCATGTCCTATCTGGTTGGGGCCACTGGTTGCTGATGTACTCTAGTCCGAAATATGTATCCTTCCGCCCTCGTGCCCGCCCGCGCCCGCCGCAGCGCGAATCCTCCGTTCGCGTCGACGAAATCGCACATGATGCGGCACTCCTCTACGAGCACGCCTCGAGCGGCCCGGACCGCTGGCGCAGCGCTGCCGCGCGCCAGGCAGGAGGGAGGGGGGACAGGGCGACCAGGAACAAGAGGAGGGTGCACCGGAGGGGGAATGGGAGGAAGCAGGACGAGGAGGAGGGGAAGGGAAACGGGCGAGGAGGGGCGATTGCCGACTGCCCCAAAAGGCGCAGGAAGCGGGGTTCGCGCCGCCAGGCAGCAAGTCCTCTCTCCCGCCTTCCCCCCCGCTTTCCCTCCCTCTTCCTCCCATGTTTCTCCTCCTCCTCCTCCTTCTTCTTCTTCATCACCACCATCACCATCACCGTCACCATCACCCGCACAATCACCATCACCATCATCATCATCATCATCATCATCATCATCATCATCATCATCATCATCATCATCATCATCATCATCATCATCATCATCATCATCATCATCATCTTCACCACCATCATCATCTTCACCACCATCATCACCATCATCATCATCATCAGCAGCAGCATCACCATCAGCATCTTAAGCACCGCAATCATCATGAGATCCGACGTCCGATTCCCATCGTACGACATGTGTGAAGCTTGCGAGGAACAGCTGGACAAAGGGCGGCCTGGGCTGCAGGGCCTGCCGCGCCGCCTCAAAGAAAGAGAAACTTCAGAGCGTCCGAAGCTGTTCGCAAGGGCGGGAGTAGGGCGAGAAAGCTGCAAATCACTCCCCTCTATGATTGCCACCGCTGCGCCACATGGTATTCGACGCTCGTTTTCCAAAGCACCCAAAGTGTGAAGCTTGCGAGGAAAACTTGGACAACAAAGGGCGGCCTGGGCTGCAGGGCGCAGCGGCATCTTCTTCTCTGCCGCGCCGCGTTCGAAGCTGTTCGCAACGGCGGGCGCGGTAGGGCGAGAAAGCTGCAGACCATTCCCTTCTATGGTCGTAACCGCTGTCCCCACATGGTATTCGTCGCTCGCTTTCCAAAGCAACCCATGCGTGAAACTTGCAAGGAAAAGCTGGGCGGCTTGCGCTGCAGGGCGCAGCGGCAGTTTCTCTGCCGCGCCGCCTCACCAACAAAGAAGTCTCAACCTGTTACTGTTATGGGTGAATTACGCGTCGTTCCACTTGGTGCGCCGGTGGCAGAGCGCATTGTCACTCGACACCCCATAGAACTGGAGCGAGCTGGGCAAGCTGCTGGACGCGAAGTCGGTTTTCTGCCGGCATGCGGGCGAAGGGCACGGCGGCCGCGCCCACCTGGAGATAGCGACGTATTGACTTACATTATCCAAGCGCCCTCGGCACTGTAGCAGGCCCAGATTCTGAAACGAGCGGACATGATGTCTGGCCCCGCCCCCCAACGAGCCCAGCGCGCGGCAAGTCGGTGATGACGACGGGGCCCTTCAGGTAGATGAACCTCTGGGTGGGCCCACGCGGCAGTCCTGGGCACAGCGCTGCCGTCGGGGGAAGGGGGCCAAAGACGCGACCTAGAAAGTTCAGCAGCGCAAGATCATTGATCAAAACGTTATGGAATGTTGGCCCTCGGTCCGATGTCTCTGCTGAGAGCAGCACGAGCACGCCTGCGTTGATGTCGCCTACCAGGTCCCCAGGCAATACGAGGCGCTGCCCGATGGCATTCGCGACCTCGCTGGGCCGCCGCAGCAAGTGGAAGGCGTGGAAGAGGCACGCCGCTGTCCTGCCTCATCCCTGCGCCTGGGCAGCCTCGGACAGGGCCAGGAACGCCTCGACGGGCATGAGCGCCCGCATCTCGACTGGCTCGGGAACGCAGTCGAGCCGACACCCTTTTCCCTCCTCCCTCCTGCCTCCTCCTCCCTCCTCCCTCCTCCTCCCTCCTCCCTCCTCCCTCCTCCCCCCTCGAATCGTAGAGGTACTGAGCGTAGGCGACGGGGGCGGCATTGAGCAGCTCGAAGCCACGCGCGACATCGCACAGGCGGGGTCGGCCATTGCCCTGGAGCCAGCAACCCCACTCACCAAGCATGCTGATGCATCGGCGAGCAGTCGCGGGCTCGACTGTCACTCGGAGGCCCCCTCCCGACCGCGAGTCTGCCTGGCGCGAGAGCGAGCCTCGATGCCCGGGGGGGGGCCCCTAGAAAACCCCGGCCACCTGCAGAAGCCCCCACGGGACATCAGCAGCGCGGCGAGCAGCAGCATGCACCGAGCTGCTCGGCCACAGGCCGCGTCGCACCACTCGCTGGGGCGCTCGGCTGCCACTTCCGCCATGCGCCGTCCACCGCCCTTTCCAAACGGCAGTCGTTCGCCAGAGCCCTCGCCGCGCGCGCCAGTCCACGACGCACTCGCAGAGCGGGCCTACGCCGAGGGCCTCCTGGAGCTCCGGGGGCGCCCGCTGAGGGGGGCGGCCGGGGCGGCCCCCGGGCCCGCAGCGAGACGACGCGGTCGAGAGCCTTCACGAGTTCTAGCCTGGATTCCCCGCACTCGCCGCCAAGCGCCTCCCCGGGGCGTCGACGCGGCATCCACGGCCGCCGGCGCACAGGGGGGCCCCCAGGCGGCCGCCGCGGGCTTGGCCCTTGCGATAAGCTTGATCTCCCGGGAGGAAAGCGCGTCGGGATCGGCGAGGTCCTCGAGCGGCCCGCGCTGCACGTCGCGGCTCACATCGATCCGCCCGAAGCGCCTCAGGGCCGCGCCGCCGCGCCCAGAGGGGCCTCTGGCCTGGCAATGGCGTCGTAGAAGACGGGCGGGCGGCGCCCAGCGACCGAGCGACGCCGGCGAGCGACCCGGCCCCAGGGGCTCTCGGCGGCGGCGATGGACTCCACAGCCTCAGGAAGACGCGGCCCGGCCTGGCGCATCTCAGCTCCTTTCGCTGGGTCATCTGCAGAATCGCGGGCATAAGGCGCCCGAAATGAAAAGAGAGAGAGAGAGAGAGAGAAAAAAAAAAAAAAAAAAAAAAAAAAAAAAAAAAAAAAAAAAAAAAAAAAAAAAAAAAAAAAACGGGAGTCATAAGGGGATTCCTGTTCTGAATCCTGCTGGGCGATCGCCCTCGGACAGCAACGCTACGTAGAGACTGCGCCTATGAACACTGGAATGCGCCTGCCATGCACGCCCAGGCCCTCCACCGCCCGCTTGACCAACGATCCGAGGGCGGCGGCCCCCTGCGTGCCGATGCGACGACGCCCCGAGAACTTATAGCTAAGCAGGGCAGTGAATTGCTTGGACCCGATCAAGGAACGCAGGAAGGGATCGCCACGCACGCCCCCGTTCCGAAACCTCGAAAGGCTCGTCGGCATGCGCGGGCACAAATGGCCCAGGCCTCTCAGCGCCTGCCCGTCGAAGCGCTCGCGCCCAAAGCCAGACTGCCCCGCCCGCGCTGAGCGGCGCCGACGCGACTCCCCCGACGAGAGGGGCGGCGCCCGAGGCGAAGACCTGCCCGGCCACAGCCGAGCCGAGCGAGCTCCTGAACAACGGGAGAAAAATACCAGTCCGATCAGTTCGTCGGTCACCGCGCTCGGGAGCCTGAGCCAGGCCCACGCCGGGCGCGCGAGGCCAAGCTTGTCCACGATGCGCATAGCGGCCAGGCAGAACATCATATAGTCCCCCATAAGCGCGACTGACGCGGCACTGGCGAGGACGGCGCAAGCGGCGATCACGCTGAGCTGCTTGACCCCCGCAGCCTCCGCCGACGTCAAGCCGCTCGGGAGAGAGCTTGCCCCCCAGACGACTGCGCTCTGTTGGTCCAGGGTCGCCCTCTCCTCCGCTCTCTCAATGCCGACCTGGTCGCACGCCTGGCGCCCCCGACGGACGCGCCAATGGGCTGCCTGTCCGGTCGGGCCAGAGGCGCCGGAGCCATCGCAGAGCCCGGGGGCCGCGCTGCCATCGGCGTAGACCCCCCGCCACGACTCGATCCGCAGGAGGGGCCCGATCATAGGTGAGCCGCGCCCCGTCGCGGAAGCAACCCGCGGACCGCAGGAAAACGCTGGCGCGCTATCAAGGCCGCCTCCGAAGCCTTCTGGCCCCCCGTTGCAGGCGCATCCAAGGCCAGCGCGACCCCGCCACGGCCTCGCTGTCGGAGGTAGTCAGCCTCGCAGGAAGCCCCCTGTTCCAGCAACTCGCCCGCCCTGAGATCACAGCCGAGGATGGTCTCCCGGGCCTGGGCGCCTGGCCACTACAGGAGGTAGAACATGTCCTCGGGCGGCGGGTTGTCTGACGCGAGGACGAGAGCCCCGCGAAGTGCGCTCTGCCCCCGAAGCACGAGTCGCCCACAAGCCCTGTCGCGGCCCGACGGACGCCAGCGACGCCGCCAGTCAGGAGCGGCACTGGCTCCTCAACGCGGCAACAGCCAAAAAACTTGTCGCCAAGCTGGCCCACCAGCTGCCGTTGCCACTCTGCCAGGGGCGCGGCGTGGCAGCGCCGCCGCCGCGCCCGCGGGGCGCCCGTGCGAGCCGCGAGAGGTAGGCGACGGACACGTTGACGACCTAGCGCCGCCGGCGTCTCTTCCGAAGCCACCGCGCACGTCTTCGCGGCGACCGTGGCGCAACTCCACACTTAAGCTAAGCGCAGAGAAACCCCTGCGGCATGAGCGGCTCTGGACAGGGCCGGGGGGCACGTTGCCCGCAAGGGTAAACTTGGAAACCCACGCCCCGAAGAAAGCACCGAACGAGGCCGGCAATCCGGATGCAAAACGAGCGCAGACCACCGAGTCAACAGTGGCCAGCGAAGTCGGAGTCGCAGGGATAGACGACGACTCGGTGTCTCTATAAGCTGTCGGACCCACCTGGAGACGATCACTCGCCCCCCCCCCCCGCCACCGCTGCCGCCCTCCTGCTCCTGTTTCTTGGCCCACGCCTTGGCCTTCTCGCCCCAGGCGCACCCTCGCCGCCGCGGCCCTCGCCGACGCCCCCGACCCCCTCTCGAGGACGTTCTCGAAAGACCCGGTCTCGCGCATGTAGGCGACTGAGGCAGCGAACTCCACGGGGCGCGCCGCGCCCCCTGCCGCCCGACTCGCTCTGGGCCGAGGGCCCGGGGGACTCGTGGTCAGCCAGGCCGGCCTCCA